AGTGTTGCAGGGGGTTGTTGTGACCAACAACATGTATCTGCTTTCTTAGATAAAATGTTTTAGTTTCTACATTTAAATATTTCAGCCCTAATAAATTATTCACTTAGGCAGTGATTCCCAAACTATGGTCCTCAGATTAAGCCCACTGGATTACAACTAGTCACATTAAACAGTAAAATATATGCCTGGCAACCTGAGGCAATGAGAGAGTCAGGAAGCTGAAAATGATCTGTTGCTCAAAATCTTTTGGCAAATCTTGCTTTATAACACAAATTACACAGTTCCTACACTTGTTGAATTTAACTTAATTGCAGTGAAAAAATAAATTCTTCAGAATAAAAGTCCTCCCTTCCCTTTTTAAAATTACTTTTCTTGCATTTTGGTATGCAACTGAGGCCTTCCATATGGGACAGATGCTTAGCAATCTTATGAGTATGAAAACAATACAGCTTCAAGAAAAGTGCAAAATGTCTCTGTATCTTAACACGCTTTAATGCAAATGTAGCAATGATATCCAAACGTTCGTTTTAATTGCCCATTATTTTAGCATAATGTCTTGTTTATGAAATTAAAACGTCATCTTTAATAGGCACCAATTTTTAGCTATCTCTCAGTAACTCATGAATAGGATGAACCACATGAACCTCTCCAAGATGCTTCCTCTTTTCTCTACAATCTCCTGTGAAAATAGTAAAAGAAACTAATCTTTGGGTTTTTTTTTTTTTGGTTTTGTGGTTTGGGTTTTTTTAATTAATACATTTAATGCACCTAAACTCATGCACTAAATCACAAAACAAGTATTTGAATAGAAGGTATATGCTCTATTCAGTCTTAATTTACTGAGCCTTAGGATGTTTCTGATGTTTAAGAGGATATTCTATTACTTATTTTGAAATAAACACCTATTAAAGCCTCAGGGAGCCTAGTAGCGGCTTTCTAAAATGTGGTCTTAGTGAACTCTTGAATTCATATCCTCCTGATTGTTGTCACTGCTGTTACGCTGATCTTCAGAACTAAGATCAAGCAAGCTTGACAAAATTATTCACTGATGATGCTAGATTTCAAATGAGGGAGCATTGTAAAAAGAAAAAACCCAGATATGCTTTGATTAAAAATTAAGGAATATCCAAAAATTAGGTCCCCATGTGTGAATTAAAAACCTCATCTATGTGGATCTTGATAGGTTAAGTATTAAAAAGCAATTATCAATGCACTCATCTGACACTAATAATGAGACTGAAAAGCAATTATCAACAAGCTCATTTGAGGATAACAAAAAGATTGGCCAGGTAATGTGGACAGATCTCTTCCTGGGAAGTAACAAACAAGGAATGCCATATCCATGAGAAAAGGGACAACCATCTATTTAAGAAAAAAAGTCAAACCACAAAAGCTGCGATTTAGACACTTCAAATAACCTGTTCCCTATGAGCTCCTACTATCATGCTGTGGTGAAAAGAAATGAAGCTATTACTGCGTAAATTGAGGAATAAATTATGAAAGGAGTACCATCTCCACAGAAGCACCACACTATTCTGATAGCTATGCTTTAAATATTCTGTGGGACAGTCGCAGGGGGAAATGGAACATACTTCAGGAGCACGAACATAAGCAACACCATGAAAAAGGTTCTCATGGCTCCTATCTTGCAACTCCATTAACAAGTAAGTGTCCAAAAAGGAGGTTCCAAAAGCTTGCTAAAGTCATGACTTTTATGAAAGTATATCAGAACATTTTTTTCTTCCAAAACCACAGTGAACATTATTTTCAGGCTTGGAAAAGTATCTGAGTAAGTGAGACACAATTAACTCCTGGTACTGGAAACAGACTAAGAAGCCTTCCACTGCAAATACAGGTGCCTTGTTTGACATCAGTCATTCATTCTACTAACAGATAAAGTGTGATCCCACTGCCATATCGAAAGTCAAAGTCTTAACAAAACCTTTTGGCATAAAATTTAAATAGTTTATAGCGAATTAGTTTTAAAATCACTACTACTTATATTTGAAACATAATGGGAGAATATTTATAAATGTATACTTTGTCCTACAAGAGAGGCACAGAGATAGGAGAGGCGGAATAATAATAATAAAAAAAATGCTCTGAACCTCAGCCCATTTCGCATTAAGATTTTGAAAACCGCATTCACATACAAATTGCCCATATGGGTGTTTAAAGCCACAATACAAGTCACTTGCCAATTTAATAGCTGAAACTGGAGGGCAATTCATAATCCCAAGGAAAGCTTGGGATGTCAAAACTTAGCTACTCCTAAACAAACCCAGAATATTTGTGTTGGAAGGAAAGAGGAAGATAGGTCAGAAATACAAGAGCTGACACATCACAACATACTAATGCATCATAGCAAACATTTATCACAAAGATGTCCAAAGGGAAATTAACGTTAACTGCACCAGTGACGCGTACCAGCTCAGAAGTTCAACATTCTAGGAAAAAAATGCAATAACTACCGCAATGGATAAATAAAGTCCAATAAGCCTACCTAGCAATTTCTCTCCCACCCAAAAGTGACAGCATCAGGCAACTCACCGAAGCATTTTGAGCTCCTGGGCAGCCTTCAGAATTATCTCATGCTGTCTTTGGCTAAGGACCATCACTCCTCCCAAGGACTGATCAGAATCCAGGTTTGAATCTGCTCCCAGCATATCAGAGGAATGTGAAGGTGGGGGAAGCGATGAATCTGTACGATCATCCAAAGACCGCAGCCTGTCTCCATCATCTGGATACCACCTATCCGACAACCGTTCCCTCTCCCAATCAGTCCTTTCAGGAAGGTAGTCTTGCTTCTCCCGCCATGTGTCATATCTTTCTGGATACTCTCGAATCCTCAGCTCTCCCCTGTCTCGGAGGTCTCTGTCATAATGATCTCTGTTCCTATCCTCCCTCCACCTATCTTCACGGTATCTGTCCAGAGGTGGAAGAGGTGGTAATGGTGGTAGAGGGGGAATATCCAGGTCACGATTCCCCATTTCTCTGTCATCCACAGGTCTCATGTTCCAGTCTCTATCCCATTCTCTGTCTAAATCTTGATCATAAATATCTGAGGATCTTCCAGTTCTATCTAGATCTCTCTCTAGTTCCCTCTCTCTTGGCCTTTTCCAGTCATCCCACCAGGAATCTCGTCTGTCATGATCAGATGATAAAGGAGGTAGTGGTGGTAGGGGAGATAATGGAGGCAATGAATGGTGGGATTGCAACCTGTCATCTCTGTCATAGACATCTACAGAATCATCCTGATAATCAGAGTTGTGATCTCTCCAGTATCGTTCTCTTTCCCAGTCATCCAATCGCTCATGCTCCAAAGAAGGGTCTTCTTGACTATCTAAAGGAAATTCCTCCTGCATTCTGTCATCCTCATGACCCCAAGAATCCCTGAATGTCTCATCTCGATGGTATGGAGGCAATTTGTCAGGGTCATCTCCTAGGTGAATGGGTTTATCTATATTGCCTGTTTCAGATCTTCCTGCTTCCCTCTCCCGGCTACCTCCCCTCCTGATGGGACCCCTCTCCCGGCTACCCGCCTGCCTGACCGGGCCCCTCTCGCGGCTACCCGCCTGCCTGACAGGGACCCTCTCCCGGCTACCT